GGAGGTATAAGTAGGACCGATAGATACAAGTCGCTTGGTAACTCGTTCCAGGTTAGCCATAAGCCTTAAACCTTCTTAAAGTTTATTTACTTTGTTAGAATGAGTCTTAGCATGATTGATATATTTCCATTAGGTCGACACAGTGGCATACCATTTATCGGTGTTGAAAGACTTGTATCCAAATGGTATAAATGTTTTATCACTATTTTCTGGAATTGGCGGTGCTGAAGTTGCTCTGTATCGTCTCGGTATTCCATTGAACAATGTGGTTGCCGTAGAGATATCTGAAGTTAACAGGAATATTCTGAGAAGCTGGTGGGAGCAAACAAATCAAAAGGGGAATCTTATAGATTTCCATGATATCCAGCAGCTGAACGGAGACGTCTTGGAGCAAATGATCGATTCAATTGGAGGATTTGATTTAGTAATTGGCGGAAGCCCCTGCAACAACCTCACTGGAAGTAACAGGGTGACTAGAGACGGACTCGAAGGTAAAGATTCTTCTCTATTTTATGACTATGTTCGGGTAGTGGACTTGGTCAAATCCATTATGTCTAATCGTAGAGTGTGACGAAAATATGTTTTGAGTTTCTGAACTTGGAAGGCAACAAGTAAAAAGTTGTCTTTGATTTTGGTTTGTACATATTTTTCGTAAAAGGGGGCACAAAGTAACTCTCTTAGTGCCATCCTAATATAACTGTTGAACGTTCGTGGAAAGAATGAACTGTTGAACTTCTCATTGTAAACGACATTAAATGATGTTGAAAATGAACTTGTGATTTTCGCTTAGCTCATGGGCAAACCCCTAAAGTGTTGTTGATGGAGCGAAAACTTGTTAAAATTTGTGATGTTTTGTGACATGGGGTGAGAGGTTCAAAACCATTTACTATTTTGAATGCCTCTCCTCTAAATCACTCGAATTAGAGGTGATGAAATTCGTTATAATTCGTCCAATCCATTTTAAGTTTGGGCTAGCCATCTAAGATGTGGGCTTGAAATATAGCCCAAACTTGCATATGCAAATACTTCTTGCAATATTTTGGTTTGTTAGAAACTTAAATAAATGTAATGAGAAAACATTTCGAGTTGAATTCAAACCCTGGTCTAGCGGATGGTTCCTCCAGGAACATCATGCTTTTCATGGGTGTACAGTTAATCGTATAATATTTTTTTTATCAGTTTATCAAGACATGTGTACACATAATTTTTTCTTTTCTTTGAAGTCAATGAATTCCCATCAAATCATGTGAGCCCGCCAAAAACAAATGTTAAAAGGATATTGTTAGATTCACAAGTAAAGGAATGGTATACTCAAAACCCCAATAAACTTAATTATCGATCAACGATCCTAAAATACTTTTTATAATTATTTGAACTGATACAAAATTACTTTCTTTCGATCCTTAAATACCTTTGAACGTTAATGACGAATTACTAGAATAACAAGATGATTTTTAGTCCAACTTGTACACTATATATGTGTATATTTTTTGTCTCTTGCTCTTGTAATTTTGTAAGGAGAATGAGAAACAAAATTCCTTTTTAAGAATAAATAGGATAAAAAGTGAGAGTAGATACAATCAAGACATTGGCAAAGAGAAAAGTTGTTCTCGTTGAGCGCATGGCGGTAGACAAGCACGAAACACTTGTAACTTTCTTTTCACGTACATAGTACACATTTCTCATCCCCCAATACCTTTCAATTCCCCACTTATAACGGTTCTCGTTTAGTTCTGTCTTTGAAAAATAGTTATTATCGTAAATTTAAATTTTCACATGTAATACTCTATTCTCACTATTTTAGGAAAATAATTCACAATGTATAGTGGGAGTTTTTTTTTTTTTTTTTAATATGAATGTGGATTAATTGAATTTAGTGGGAAATATAATATCATATGCTTAAGGATGTGGTTGGTAGATATATTTATAGCCCTACTCCGACTTTCATAATATTTATGTAGACTATATACAAATATTTATAAAATAATATTTTCTACTTGTATATAAAAAAAATACTTATATAAAAGAATCACTATATATATACACTTTATAGAAAAATATTCTCCTTTATCATGAAAAATATTTTCCTAAATTCTTACCGAATACACTCTAAATGAAAAAGAAAATGGATGACCATGCATGTATAGTCGGTGCTGATTACGTCGCTGAAAAATTATATTGTATATAAATTTATAATAAAATATATAAGTCAAAAAAATATTTTTTAAATTTTAAACATTTTAAACGAAATTTATTATTTTTTCAATATTAGAATATTGTTTGATGAATTTTAAGAGAATTTTTGAAAATATTTTTTAATAATTTCGATATCCTAGTACTCATAACTTGCACTGACACATGCATCATCACAACTTTTCACAAAAAAATAAAATAAAATTATATCATTGGAATTCATGCAAATAAACTTGGTCCCCTTTTGTAAGTGTAAACATTTCATTGTTAACGTAAATTTGAAGGTAAAAAATTGGACTACTACTAGTCTTGTGCTTTGACTTGGGATTTGTTCAAACGTGGAAAGTTATTGGTATTTGTAACATATGTTTTTGACTTCATATTATAAAGTTCACTTTATATTCATTCATTCTCTTGTCTTTAAATGCTTCAAAAAACAAACATACCCCTTCCAAAATTAACAACAATATGTTGGTACCTAGAAGGATTTTAAGCTTACTACTAATCCTAATCCTAATTGCTCAAATTCTGCCAAACACAACTTCTAATTACCAAGGTATGTAATGTATCATATTAATTAACTAATACTCTATGCTTCGATGACTTATACTACTAGAAATTATAAAGCTTTTTTTTAAATCGCAAATCAGTGGGAATATATACGTGCGATAACATATATATGGTTTTTTCCACTCATTTTTATTGAATTAGTTCGGTAAAAAGTTCATGGTGAAGAATAGATTCGCATTGAAATAGTGAGATAAACTCTCTAATTTTTCATATGAAAATATTACTATTTTTTCTTTTCTCACTGATTCAATCTAAATATAGGGGGAACAAGATTATTTTTTTGCGATGAGAAATTTAGTAGGGAAATAGTGATTCTTTTGTGGTGTTAATATCCTATATTTTTATTTGAAATTTTATTTAATTTGTAGGTGGCAAAATTGCAACCAAAAGAAGTAATTCAGTATCAAAGAGAGAGGCCTTGGTACGTTTGTTATTAAACATTCATTTGAATGGTTTCCTTTTTATATAATATATAATTGGAGGTGTTAGTTTCATCATTGTTTGTTTTCGAAAAAAATAGAAACAGATAAAGTAGAAACTCTTTTTGTTCGAATGAATGTAATAATGTATCATTACAAGAGAATAATGTGTTACTCTTTGCATGCAATTATCTACTTATTTTTGGAATTACACACTTAATTAATTATGCTATAATACACTAGTAACATTTTGATTATGAATTCAAATTATGTTATATACGGTGACAATATAAAATTTATTTTACTCTATTAATGAATTTTAACATGTGTTTGCAAATTAGTTACATTTTAAAATGATTACAAACTAATGCTCATCATGAAATTTACTTGTATACATATGATAAATGATTTAATCGTGTAAATATTTTCTTACGTCAACGCGTAGAACTTAATCTCTTTTATTTTTTTATGGAATTTTCATAGGCAAATACTGGTGGAGAACAAATTCTGAGCAGACGTCCACTCTCACAGTCTGGAGGCAAAGATATTAATGCTGAATATGTTGCATTTACAGCAGATTATAAATCACCTAGGCATCACCCACCAAGGCACAACTAGACAACTTTACTAAAAAAAATCGCAAATTTTCAATATATATTTTGTTAAAATTTGACTTGTCAATAAGGGTTATATTATCGACTTATCAAATTTTGACGAGATTGGAAATTAGTGATTTTTAGTGCGATGAGAAGTACCAATTAAAGATCTATAGTTTAACTACTTTTGCAATGCATTTGTCTTAGTGTAATCTTTACTATATATATATATATATATATATATATATATATATATATATATTTTGTCAGTAACTTTTTATGAATGTCAACTTAGTATCGTAAGTAAAAGTAATTTTTTATGAATGTCAACTAAGTATCGTAAGTAAATCTTTCTCGATTATTTAATCATTTGACAATCAATATCATTTTTTTGATAAGTAATTACTTTGAATCAGATTCAATAGAATTTGATCAATCCCAATTTTTATTGTTAAGGTGAAGAATGAAACTAATAATGCTCTTTCTTCATCGTCAATCAAATCATTGTTTGTGACTCATGATTCTATTTTCTCATCACTTTTTTTTTTGACCTTTAACCATGCGTAACGATTATATTAGTAAGTCAAATTGAAATAAAAATAAGGAAGAGATAAGTAAGGTAGGTCTCATAAGTCATAGCAATTAACACAACTTGTTTTTTAATTTCCATAATAACCACCTTATTTATGGCATTTTAATATGCCTTTATTAAAGGGTATACAAGTAAGAAGTTCGGAGTCTAAAGAGTATAAAATATTAACAAAAATTCTAAAATGGTATATAAAATTTTATTTGAACCAAAACGGCAAAATCGCTGGAACAACAGCGATTTCCTCCACCGGAAAAAGCAAAATCGCTGCTACTGCAGCGATTTTGCAAAATATGATTATTTTTTTAAAAAAAATGCAAATCGCTACCTAGACAGCGATTTTCTATTTTTTTTTTTAAAAAAACAATAAACTTGTTATATCTCCTAATTAATAATCATTAATTCTCCTTCTCCTTTAAAATAAGGTTCCCTTTGATTTTAATTTGCTTACCTAATATTTTCAGTTGCATCCAAATTGATATGTTGGGCACCCTCTAGCTAGTGACTAGCCCAATTCTAGAGTTAAATGTTGTGCAATACCAATTTGATAAATTAAATTTATAAAAGTGACAAAAATTATGTAATATTAACAGATAAATCCTACACATATTGAAAAGTAGCCCTTATAAATAGAGAGAATTTGTCCATTTTTTAAAAGTAATATCATTGTGAGCTAGGGTTTCAAGGATTTGTTTTTTTAGTGATATGGTCTTATTAGTATCATTTTAATTTACTTCGATGGCTAGTGAAGACAATGAAATTGTTTCTGATTTCTATCCCCATTTTCGAATCTATAAAAATGGACGCGTTGAACGTTTTTATCATTTACAAAATTGTTTTTACGTTCCACCAACACATGAACCAGATTCTGACACAGGTGTCTCCTCTAAAGATGTTGCAATCAACTCTCATGTTTCAGCTAGGCTCTTTTTACCAAATGTTACAATTAACACAAATAAAAAACTCCCAATTATTGTATTTTACCATGGTGGAGCCCTAGTCTTGGGATCAGCATTCTTCAACAAGGTTTATCGTTTCCTTAATCTTCTTGTGTCTGAATCAAACTCAATAGCCGTAGCTGTTGATTACAGGTAGATACACGTGTTATTAAATGATCTGTTCAAAAGTTATTAAGTTATTTCGCAAAGTATGTAGTTTATTTTATTTCTTTTATTATAATTTGTTTAAGTACCTAGTAGAATTTTTTATTCTTTATTATCATGACCGTATAAAAAGAAAAGAAAAGGGAAGTCTTTAAAATCATTTTAACAAAAAATTATAATTGGCTAGTCAATTTGTGTTGCGTACCATTGCAAAGATGGACGGAATTGAGTATTTAAAAATAGATTGAGCTAATAAATAAATAGATTTATAATCCATCTAAACTTAAATTGATTAGATTGGTTAAGTTTTCATGAGCTAATTTCTTTCATTGGAAAATTATGCAGAATAACAAATATTTAGTTTGTATTAGGTAATATAGCTGCAGTTAAGAAAATTATAATTCACGACTATAGTTTTCATAATTCGTGCTATTCGTCTGATTTGTATAATTCCAAAATTTGTATAATCTGATTCCTAATGATATAAATTCAGAATTTTGTATTTGCTTATCATAGCGATTTTTGAAAAATTCATGATAAATTACTTTGTTGGTATATTGACAAACGAAATATATATACAAAGCATACTTTTTAAAAAATTCCTAAATGTATAAATGCATAATTTGTTTATACTTACTTTACTTGTATATCGCAAGCAAAATATACATACAAACGGACATAAATATATAAACTGCAATCTACATAACAAATGAAACTATAATTATGGAGCACAAGTATAGAAACTAAAACTATAAAGCCTTTTGTTATTTTTGAAAATTTCTCTTGTTAATTACAGGTTAACCCCAGAACATGATGTGTCTACTGTGTATGAAGATTGTTGGACTGCTCTTCAATGGGTTGCTAGTAGCCAAGATTCATGGCTAACAAGTCATGGTGATTTTGGTAAGGTGTTTTTGTTGGGAGAAAGTGCCGGAGCCAATATTGCTTTCAACATGATAATCAGAGCAGACAGAGAAAAATTAAATGGTGATGTGAAAATAAATGGTTTAATTCTTGCTTGTCCTTATTTCTTGATCCCACATGAAAATATTGATGTGGAGAATTTGCTTGCTTACAAGGCATGGAGAGAGATTATTTGTCCAAACTTAGAATCCCCTTTTGATTGTCCAATGATTAATCCACTTTGTAAAACAAGTCCTAACTTATCAAAGCTAGTATGTTCAAAATTATTTGTGTGTTTGGCTGAGAAAGATGAATTGATTCCAGTAGAAATGTTGATGCAATTTGTTGATAGTGTGAAGAAAAGTGGATGGAATGGACAGTTTGTGTTACATGTGGTGGAAGGAGAAGGTCATTGTTTTTTAATTGACAATCTTGAAACTGAGAAAGCTAGAGATAGCATTAAGAGATTTGCTTCTTTCATCCAAAGCAAGTGAGTCGAGTCGCGGAAGTAACTACTAATGTTTGAATAAGAATAGGTTGTTTGTATCACACCTTTTAGGGTGAGGCCCTTTTTATTAATAGTGAAATGCTTTGTAAGTCGAACTGTCTTTTTTATATAATAAAGTCTTTGTGTTATTGTAAAATCTTGATGTATTTGAAGTCTTAATCCTTCTGCATGTTGATTCAAACTCTTTAGATTGAGTTACTCAAACTCTTCAAAACTATAATGTTGTTGCATACATGTCGGGTCCTTCAAGCATCCATCAATATTTTTGAAGAGTTTCATTACACGTCGTGTTCAGTTAAAGTACATCACATAAGATGAGACAGAAGTAATAAGTGCATGAGTACTGGTTCAAGACTTGAGATCAAACTGCAATACCTATTTTGCTTTGCATATATGTCTGGATAATGCATACTTTCCTCGAACCCTCGTTTGATATTGTTCATGAAAATGTGTCTCCTGATACAAGTTTTACTTCTTTGGTAGCCAAATTATATAGCACTCGCGAATAGAAGGAGGTCACGTGCACCATAAACACCATGTTCGTGTATTAGCTGTACAAATAAAAGTAGGAACTTCTTCATATGGAGCGCCTTGTGACGTCTTCCCATATGTTCCTTATACCCAACAAACAGGAAGTGTTAAGCAGTTAATATCTACAACAAGTTCAGGGTTCTTCTTTCATCTGGCCTGATGGCAAAGAACCTTCACGAATATGCAGGGGTGCACTCGTGCAGAGACCCATCTCGACAACATTATGTAGCTCATCATTAGGTAACTGAACACAATTAGCAAGTCAAGAAACATTCACAGTTCACTACATGAAATGAATAATGTTCAGAGTTCAGAGCTACCTGCGATGAACGCTCTTTGTAGCCACCACTCGTAACAGCTAAAAAAGGATAGATAGATTTAAGTAATGTATCGATGGAGTTTCCCGAACCAGGAAGACCTGAATGAACCAGGCCTCGTTGCAGTTGATGTGAGGACTGATACGGCACTGTAAGATCAGGTGCAAAAGCAAGTGAGGATGAAGTACCTGCTCGTGAATGCAGAATCTGCAAGAAGAATTCAAGAATGTTATTATTCTTAAGAAACTAGAAACTATGCACCATGTTCTGCTTCATGTTTAACTCCCAGAAAAGTGCATTGGTTCTTACTTCTTTCGCAAGGAGCGCATCAATATTAAAATCCAACCGCGGGTTTATAGTTGCAAGCTTCATTGAGAGGAACTGAGAGAACAAGAAGTCCAGTCATTCTCAAACATATATACTGCAAAACCTCTTAGATGCACCTGATTTTGCAAGAAACAAGCAAAACAACAAAAATGCATCCTTAATGCACTCACAGATTCGGGTATGCATGAGTTGGGGAAAGGGTGTAATACACAGCCTTACCCTGCATTTCTACAAGAGGCTGTCTCTACGGCTTAGATCCGTGAAGTCCTGGTCACATGACAACAACTTTACCAATTAACTGAAGGCACCCAATAAAACTAATCAGATACTAGTGATCATAAATCAATGAAGCATTTTGTGGACAGTAGATGCAAGTGAATTACATTTTAAGACTAGACATGATATAGCAACACCAAAAAGGAGGGGGGAAAGGTAAAAGAAGAGGGGCAAATCATTCATTAGACATCATCATCTGAACCAACACAAAAATGGAGTTCACAAAAAAAAAGGAGTAAAGAGCATACCTCAACCTGTCTTTGAAGAGATTGTACATAATTAATGATTTCATCAAGCATTACTGCTTTCCCTGTGACCTGCGAAATCACCGGCTCTCGCTCAGGATATATTAAGAACAGATACTAATTGTTATATTGGATGTTTTAGAAAAAGAAGCTGTTAACTAAAAAAGAAACAGTACAACAAAAGTACCTTGTTGCAACCAGGTACAAGATCCTGAAGAAATTTCATCCGTTCGCTGATCTTCTCCCTCCTTAGCTGCATTAAAATAAAAGCAATTAAGACAAATCTGAAAGAACTACAACATGCTATCTTCACTACAACTTGTTAAAGTTTCTATTCTTGAAGTCTTACTCTTTCTGCAAGACTATGGCTGTTTGTTGCCTGGTCTCTTCGAGCTCAGATATGTATGTAGCCTTCTTTAGGTGGATCCTCATTCTTTCCACCAGGCCTGCAGGCAATGGAATTCAAGTTTTGCTCTTTTGCCAGTTCAGCTGGTTGTTGTTGTGCTCCATTCATTTGATCAAATTCTGCATCCTGACCAAATGACAAGAAACTTTAATATACAAGAACTAGCACAAAACAATATAAAAAATTTATACCTGACCACTTCTTTTCCTTTTCCTTGAACCAAGGCACCTAGCAGAAGAATATCCACCCTCCACTTCTTCTTGATGTCCACTACATTCAGACTCATTTTCAGAGATGCCAACACATTCCTTTGCTTCACCCTGAGACTTAACAAAGTTTACATTTTTATCATTCTTGAGGGGGCTTCTATCTGTGTGTTCATATTCAAGAGGTAAAGGAACATCCTGATCAGAACTTTCAACTGCATTTCTCATCTGTTTCTTTTGACTGATTGCAGTAGAAGGCGAATCGAATACATCTTGTGATTCTCCGAAGATCAGTCCGTTGTGATACGTATTAAAGGAATTAGGAATAGCAAAGGGGTTCATCATATCACCAACTTTCTCTCCACTGAATCATGAAAATCTTGTAACTCTCTCAATAAAACCTGAATCAGCTGTCAATTGAGTTAAGCTTTGAGGAACCATACTAAACGTGCCTCCTTTCGACATAGCATTTGGTTGAGTCCAATCCAACACAGTTGCAGCACCAGGATTCATTGGAATATTAGTACCACATAAGCCTACGTTTGATAAACTTATAGGATTACCCCAAACACTAACACAGAACGAATCGATAATTCGATTAGATGCATTTATCAGATTACTACCACTGAATTGCCAATCTTTTGGCTCAGCATCATCCATGCTAACAATATTCATCTTTTAAAAGTCTAGCAAATCCACCAAACTCAAACAAACAAAAAAGAGTTTGGCTACTTCACAAGACACTCATTGTTGTGTATTTGACAATCTTCATTCAATCATATTTAAGCAACTTTAGATCATATTCTCAAAATTTATAGTTCAACAAGATTAGAAACAATACAGAAAACTCCAAAGCATGCAAAAAAAAAAAACAGTGGAAATTGAAAATTGAAGAAATAAGTAATAATCAAGAACTCAAAATATATTGAAACTATTATCATAACAGAGAAACCCCACAACCCCAAACAACATAATTATCCAAGAAAACACATTCTAAGTTCAATAAAGAGGAAAACCATTTAACTGCAACATCATAAATGTTCATTTAAAAGACCTAGTCAGAAGGAAAACAGACACACATACCTAAGCTTAGCTCTGAAACAGAAAAAGACATGACTAAATTATGTGCTACTCTATACACCAATTTGTGATGGCCAACCGTATGCATAGACAAGGTGTTGACGGACGGCCACGAAAAAATTTGGCATTTTTGACGTCGGAATCCGGATCACCCAAAAAATGTTGTGCTATAGCACACGAAAATCGTCGAAATGAGGCGTATGCTGGCTTCGGGGCTCGTTTGACCCTCCAAATGTTCCGGACAAGCCACGATGGCCAACCGTATGCATAGACAAGGTCTTGACAGACGTCCACGAAAAAATTTGGCATTTTTGACGTCGGAATCCGGATCACCCAAAAAATGGTGTGCTTTGGAGCTCGTTTGACCCTCCAAATAGGCCGGACAAGCCGTGATGGCCAACTGTATGCATAGGCAAGGTCTTGACGGATGTCCACGAAAAAATTTGGCATTTTTGACGTCGGAATCCGGATCACCCAAAAAATGGTGTGCTATAGCACACAAAAATCGTCGAAATGAGGCGTATGCTCGCTTCGTGGCTCGTTTGACCCTCCAAATGGGCCGGACAAGCCGTGATGGCCAACCGTATGCATAGACAAGGTCTTGACGTACGTCCATGAACAAATTTGGCATTTTGGACGTCGGAATCCGGATCACCCAAAAAATGGTGTGCTATAGCACACGAAAATCGTCGAAATGAGGCGTATGCTCGCTTCGGGGCTCGTTTGACCCTCCAAATTGGCCGGACAAGCCGTGATGGCCAACCGTATGCATAGAAAAGGTCTTGACGGACGTTCACAAAAAATTTTGGCATTTTTGGTGTCGGAATCCGGATCACCCAAAAAATGGTGTGCTATAGCACACGAAAATCGTCAAAATGAGGCGTATACTCACTTCAAGGCTCGTTTGACCCTCCAAATGGGCCGGACAAGCCGTGATGGCAAACCGTATGCATAGACAAGGTATTGACGGGCGTCCACAAAAAAATTTGGCATTTTTGATGTCGGAATCCGGATCACCCAAAAAATGGTGTGCTATATCACACGAAAATCGTCGAAATGAGGCGTATGCTGGCTTCGGGGCTCGTTTGACCCTCCAAATGTGCCGAACAAGCCATGATGGCCAACCGTATGCATAGACAAGGTCTTGACGGATGTCCACGAACAAATTTGGCGTTTTTGACATCGGAATTCGGATCACCCAAAAAATGGTGTGCTATTGCACATGAAAATCGTCGAAATGAGGCGATGCTCGCTTCAGGGCTCGTTTGACCCTCCAAATGGGTCGGACAAGCCGTGATGGCCAACCGTATGGATAGACAAGTTCTTGATGGACGTCCACGAAAAACTTTGGCATTTTTGACGTCGGAATCCGGATCACCCAAAAATGGTGTGCTATAGCACACGAAAATCGTCGAAATGAGGCGTATGCTCGCTTCGGGGCTTGTTTGACCCTCCAAATGGGCCGGACAAGCCGTGATGGCCAACCGTATGCATAGACAAGGTCTTGACGTACGTCCACGAACAAATTTGGCATTTTGGACGTCAGAATCCGGATCACCCAAAAAATGGTGTGCTATAGCACACGAAAATCGTCGAAATGAGGCGTATGCTCGCTTCGGGGCTCGTTTAACCCTCCAAATGGGTCGGACAAGCCGTGATGGCCAACCGTATGCATAGACAAGGTCTTTATGGACGTCCACAAAAAAATTTGGGATTTTCGACGTCGGAATCCGGATCACCCAAAAAATAGTGTGCTATAGCACACGAAAATCGTCGAAATGAGGCGTATGCTCGCTTCGGGGCTTGTTTGACCCTCCATATGGGCTGGACAAGCCGTGATGGACAACCGTATGCATAGACAAGGTCTTGACGGATACCACAAAAATATTTGGC